CACGCTCGCCTTCCCTCCCGCCACCCCCCCGGCCCTCCTCCACCCCACCAGAGCCTTCCTTCCGCCCTCCCCCACCTTAAGCTCCGGCTGGGCCGCCGCCGATCCCCCGTCCAGCTGTCCCGCCGGCCCCACGTAGGCCCCAGCGGAACAAGACACAAGGCGTCAAGAGGAATGTCCCATCCAACGGGGAAAGAAGGGCAGCCGCCGGAAAAGAGCGACCCCGGAGACAAGAGGACCAAGCCACTCAGCCGGACACAGCCGGCCCACCGAAGCGGCACGTCCGACATCCGCCCTACATCAAGCGTCGCGCTCACCACAGGAGATCTAAAGCACCAGGCGTGCGCCTCCCCCCACTTCCAAGTCAATGCCCTGCAAACTCCAGCCGCGCCAATAGTGGTACGGGGAGAGCGGCGCCCGGAGAGCCCACACACACGAGGAGCACACGGGGTCTGCGGGGCCGTCTCGTCCCTGTCCGCGCCCTCCCCCTCCCCCACCTCCCCCCCATCTTTTCCGCCCCGGTTTTCCTTCCGACTTTTTCCGACCCCCTCTCCCACGTCTTCTGCCCCGGCAATACTTCCATCTCGTCCCCATGGGGCCCGATGCCCCAGACGGTCACCTTGTCCGGGCAGTCGCGACTATCTTTCACCTTCCCCCGCGTAGCCGCCCCTACGGAGCGAGTCGCTCCTGTTGGCAGCGGGGCCTCACACATGACAGACCCCCACGCCGAGCCGCAGGGGCGGTAATACACCAATAAGCTGGCACAAAGGGAAGGCTAGGTCGCGTAGCTAGAGAACGTTGCGCCCGTCCCTCCCTCCATGACCACGCCTACCCGCTCCCAACCCGTCCGACCCCTCTCCCTGTACCGTTGCCCCCTGCAGGTTATATTGTCTCAACCCCAACCCCCCTTGTCTGCACCATCGGACATCGAGCACGCCACGCGCCCACTGGCGTGGTTGTTTAGCTGTTCGAATTCTGAAGCTTCTTTCTCAGACCGATCATCTCTTTCCCGGCCGCCGCGCCCGACTCCCACTCCCTCTGGCCTTCCAAACATTCCTCCAACTGAGCCCCCCCACTCGTCACCACCTCGCGCCAAGAGGACTCGTTTCCCCTCATTCTTGGCGCCCTCAGCCCTATCCCCTGGCCATGGTCCGCTCCTACGCCCCCCCCGACTCCGCGGCCACAAACCCGGTCCCGAACCCGCGCTCCGACCCACCTCGCTTCACGCCTCACACAAGCGCACGAGAGGGCCGCCACATTATACGCGGGCCAGAAAGGTGCATCCCCCGCTGAGAGCCTGGAGCTCAGCACCCCTCTAGGAACGGGGAGGTATAAACGAGCCTCATGCCAGGAGTGCACCCCCACCAAGTCCTTACCCGACCAGCTGCCTAGGGCGGCTGGGCCCCAGAGTCTGGGGGAGAGGGGACAGTGCCCGGCACGAAGCCCCCCTCCCCCGTAGAGACCCCACTAAGACGCAGCAACTTACCTGCAAGCCACCATCCCGCCTCACCCCACCCACCGGCCCACCGACGCAAGAATGCCACCCACCCACACAAACAGGAGTCCGGCCCGTCCAACCCACCCCTGCCCCCCCCCCCCAGCGTAAACCCCCACCTTACCCCCCTCCGCCCACCCGCCCCCCCCCCCACCTCAGTCCCCCCCCCTCCTGCCCCCCGCCCCCTCTCCCACCGAGACCGGCACACCCGACCAACACAGCACCCCACCAACACAGGCGACGACCGTTCCGCCGCGGCCCCTTCCCCTGCACAGCGCCCTGTCCCCCACCCCCCCCCCCCCCACTCGCTTCAAGGCCCCCCCCACCCAGCCTCCTTCTCCGATTCCCCACCTACCTCCGGTGCGCAACCCTCTCGCCACTCCCTTCCCCCCCCCACATCGTACCCCAACGCGAAACAAAGAGCTCGGGCCCACCAAACGCCCCGGGCCGGGTCATTGATACGCGCCAGTACCACACGGGCCCCTGACGACCGCCCAACAACCCCGCGAACAAATAGCGCAGTAGCGGCGATTCCCGCGCCCCCCTTACAAACCCACCCCACCCTCTAAGCGTATGGACTTCCCCGCACCCTTCCACTTGTCAGGGCCAGCCAGGGTAGCGAACCATCCCCCATAGTCGACACCATTAACGGGGGACCGCGCTCACCGTGCGCCCCGCGCCCTCCACCCTAACCAAATCTCCCCTATTCCACTTTTCTGTCTCCCTCCCCTCCCCCTTTCGCCTCCTTTTCTGTCGGTGTCTCCCCCCGCCCCCTTTCCGCCCCTCCATTCTCGCACCACCTCGTCCCATCGCCTCTATCACGCTCCCCCCTCCGCCCCGGATTTGCGCCCAACCCTAGCTCCACTGCCCCCCCCATTGCTTCTGATGGCTCCCTTGCAGTCACGACAATCCCCCTGACAGTTCAGCCCCTCCATCATTGCAACATTCGTGCCCCGCTCAGACCCCCGTCGACTGCGGCACACAAAACGAGCAAAAAACATCGGTTGAGACTAAACAGTGCGACTCCCTCAAACGAATAAGAACCTCAACAAGACTCGATCTAGGACAACTCACCAACCAGGAGCCACTCGCGAAGGTGACGGAAAAACCGAAAGAATAGCGAGGAGCACAAAACCGCGACGCCGCATGCAACCGCACACTAACCAGAAACCCAGGACGTACGGGCAAGGCGGGAATGACAGCATCCACACCAGCCAACCACATCCTCGGCGAAGCAAACTCTCGCGTACACTCAACCGGGGAGTCACCCGCCTCCCTCCCCCACAAACTGAACTAGACTAAACGATAAAAGGAGGCGCAACATCCCTCCGATAGAGCCCACAGGCACAAGCCCCCCACAACCCCCCGAACAGCTCCCACGCCACCACCGACACAACTAAAACGACTACCACAAACCCCCCCCACCAACAGCGACAAGCCACCCGACAAAGAAAGCCAGAGAATAGCCACAAAGGCCCGAAAGCCAGCCAGTCACCCCTACCCCGACCAGAAAGAGCACACCTCAATCCCCACCACAAGATAACCAACGAACGGAAGCGAGACAGCCCAAATACCTACCACCAACACCCCACCAAACCGCAACCACCCAACAACACTACACACCACCACCAAACCCCAATGCCCACCACCCACCCCCCACCCCCGACACCAAAACCAAAAATCGGCCGAACAGGGGAGCAAGGGAAGAAGACACCCGCGTCAACAACACACAAGCCTAGGCCACCCCAACACACCCAGAACCGACCCCACCCCCCCCAGTCCCCCACTCCGCAGCTACGCCCCCACGTGGCCCCCCCGCGGGCGGCAAGCGGCGCCCGGCCCCCGCCCCAGCGAACAGCTACGGACATTCGAGGACCTGGTGGACAAACGCGGCACCCCCCAACCCTCCCGCCCCCAGTCCACCCACCACCCCCTCGAACTCCGGGCCCGACACTCCACGACCGCCCTAGAAACCGCCACTTCAAGCGAGCTAACAGTCGCAGCACCTACCATAAAACCTACAAGACTAGCCGACTCACCACAACGACCGTCTTAAAGCCGGCCAAATGCCATCTAAACCGGCTAACGAAAGGAGCAGCGAGGGGGCACCCAGACACCTAAACCCCACCTGAGTCATAAGCATAACGTACAATACAAACAGAACCAAGAAAAAGAAAAAGGCCCCTACAAAAAGCAAAAAAAACAGCGCAACACGCGACAGAAAGACCCCATAATAAAAATACCAAAACAACAACAGAAAAAAGTAGCATAAGAAGGAACCACAACAGAAGCACAAGGTATCGCAAAAAATAGACAGCCCAAACACGAAGAAAAGACAAACCTACAGACCCAGGCAAGAGAAAAGACAAAGACACCACACCAGCACCGTACCATAAAAAAAAAACACCTCAGGAAAAAGGCACCCCCCCCAACACTACAAAGAAGATGAAACACCCCCACAACAGGGGTAAGAAACCCGCCCAAAACACAACAGCAAGGATGAAAACCCAAGCGAGAGAAGAACACACAATAACCCCATGGAGACGTGAGTAGAACACAAACAGCAAATGCCCAAAGCAAACAGATCAAATGCACCACACCTGACCACAAAGAAGAGCGATGGCAAACGACCAACTGATAAACAAAGCAACCGATCAAACGGCCCTAACATCCACAGAACCCCCCCCGCCCACCCGCAGAACCTCGGAAGGACCCACCCAAATTAACTAACTGCAGGGAACACACACCGTAACGCGCCCCGTCAGCACCAAAAAACCGCGAGGACGGCAGCAAGGAAAGAGAGGGACCCTAATAGGAAACAGAACGGAAGGGCGTAAACGACGGCACGGCGCAGCGAAGAATAAGAAACGGGAAGAGACCACACACAGCAGGGGGCATAACAGACGGGCACGTAAGAGGCAAATTCACTCAACCATGGGAGTGGACAGGCGTAAAGGAGCGACGCAGATGAACTTAGCCAGAGTCGCGGCAGTTGCTAACACACTGTTGCGACGTTCTAGTCTGGAGTAAGGACTAAGAAGAGAACGGCGGGAAGGGGAGTTGCATAGAGAAACCAGAACGGGCCTGGGTAGCGCATAGAGGGGAATGGAAAGGGGGAATCGCGAGTGAGAGAAGAGCGGGGGTGCGGGGGGGGGGAGGGGTAGGAGTAAATAAGAGAGTGAAAGAGAGGTTGAAAGGGGGTGGACGAATAAAGAAAACAAGCGCGCCCACAATACAAGGGTGAGGCCAAAAGGTGTGCCGAATGCCCAGGTAGACAGGGGGAAGAGGGAAACAGAGACAGTCCGAATAAACTCACTGCAAAAAGACGCACGGCCACTTGGTTTCGCTTGATGCCACGACGACCACACGGTACGAAGCCCCACCCACCCGCCCCCCGCAACCCGGGCTCCCCTCCCCCCCCCGTGCCAGCCACCCCCCCCAGCCTGCCCGCTGCGCAACGCGTCCCAGCCGCCCTCACTGCCCGAACCAGCCACACTACTACGAGCCACGGGAAAGTTACCCAACTCGGAAAGACCACGCCACTAAAGACATAGTTCCACGACCAGAAATCCTGTCACGCGACACGAGAAAGGACCAGTTCAGAGGAGGGAAACTACCACAGCAGCCGACCCATCCCCCCCGGCGGTCTAGCGACGCGCCCACTCTATCAGGGACACACAACCCGGCCACCTCACAGATACACGCCATACCAGGGGGCCTAGGGAACGCCACGAGCAAAGGAGTTAAGGACGGGCGTCAGAGGATTTATAAACACCGTGTACAAACACCGCCGAGGAGCTGCCGAAAGGAAACAACGGAGCTAACCAAATAAGAGAATGAAAAGGAACCAAAACCAGGAGAAAGGTCGAGCTACGACGGCACGCCACAACCACGCACTCGAGTGCCCCGCAGCCGAAAGAAACCGCACATGTACAGCAAGAGAAAGTCCGGCCGAGAAGACACAGTAAACGGGCCCCTCGACAGGACCCACCTACCAAAGGAGGGACCTAAGGTCTCAACGAGGGAGCCCCGCGTGCTCTCCCAGCCCACCCGCACCACACCTCACCCTCAGGAACTCGGGTGCAGCCTGTCAAATCGTAAATGGCGACACGACAAGAACAACAAAAGACGTCGACAAGCATCAGCAGCTTCGAACAGAGCACAGGAGGAACGCGCGGAAAATAGGAGAGTTAAAGTCGAAGTAAGAGCCGCGGCAACGAGCGGAACAGCGCCAGAGATGAAATCCTAGAGGAGGGGAACGCGAGCACGAGTCGTCGCGGAAAAAAGACCGCCCGTCGCCAAGAAGTGAGCCCGCGAAGAAACAAACACCCTAGACTGCAGAGCCCAAAACACCAGCCGTCGAAGCAGCAAGGCAAAGCAGCCACACTCAGTAAGGAGCCAGCGCCAAAGCAAAGACTGTGACAGCAGCGCGGAAAAAAATATATCGACTTCGCGCGAGCACGCGCGCTGACGCGAAGGCATGAGCCCGGGACTCCCAAAGAGGCAACTCGAACACCCGATAGCGCTACCATCGGACCTTGCACCGAGGATCAGTTCGCAAAGAGAATAACACACCCCACCCAGGGGAAGGAACATAAGGAGGGTCCGACATACGACCTGCACCCGCGTACGAAGGCTCAACTAAAGACAGCGAGGGAACCGAGAGGAAGAACGCGAAAGATCGGCAAGCGCGTGAAAGAGACAACAGGAAAGGAAAAGAGAGGGATACGCCGATCAGCCCGAGTGTCCCACTTAGGGACCGACCCACTGAGGAGGCGAACGAAAGAAAGCAGCAGCAAGACCAAATCGGACCCTCGACACGAGCCGCGAGACAAGGTGCCGCGCGCAACTCTTACAGAGGGGCAGAATGAACCACAAACAAAGGAATTAGCCCTAACACGAAGGAATCTAACACCCAAACCAACACAAAACAAAAGGACAACCGCGGAAGGGGACACAAAAAGCGAGTGGGGCAAGAGACATCTGAGCCACGTTCATCAGCACCAACAAATAAAGAAAAAGACGCGAAAACCTGCAACGCTACACAAACACCAGCACTACAGATAGCACAAGGCCGGTAAAACAGCGACAAGAAGAGCAAAAAGATCACAACTAAAGTGGCTAACCCGTGGGGACACAACCATTCAAAAAAAATGATATGATAAACCCAATCACTCAAAAATTTTAGCATGAGTGCTCCGTGAACAAGCCCTCACGCATGGAACAAGTCGGACAGAGCGAGCACCCCACCACCGGAAAACCGCGCGCCGCAGCCCGAACACCGAGCACGTGGAAGGCGCAGAAAGTGTAACCACATGCAGCACGAGCGCAAAACCAGCAAAAAACAGAATACGAGTAGCCAATCCAAAACAGCCACCAAGCGGAGGAGCGTGTGAGATGCACACTACATAATATGTGATGGGGGAACACCCCCGACAATACCGAGAGTCGATGACAAAGAAAGAACAAACTCGAGTCGGCAACGCAACAGAGTCGAGCTCACGGCGTTCGGTCGTTCCGAGTCGATTCAGAGCGGACTACAAGTGGGCACACTCCCCCCCGCGCCGTACGACGGGGGGGAACGGGGGGGGTGGCAAAATAAACACGATAAAAAATAGAGAGAGAAGGGCAGGGCCAAACAACCAATGCACGCAACGTCCCGGCGCCCAGCACGGATGAGAGGAGCCATAAAAAGAAGGCTCTAGCAATACCAAGCGAGGACACACACAGAAAAAAAAAAGACGAGGCCACACCGCCCCAGGAGAGAAAAGAGGAGAACGAGGGAAAAAAAAAAATGGGACTTGGCACCCGGGAGAGGTGCGGCGGGGTTTCGATACGAGATTGGCAAGGGGATTGACGCGTCGAATGCTCGACCCGGGGAATCTGCACACATGTAGTGAAGGGGAGAATTCGGCGTGGTACATACGCGAATTAAGAAGTCGGCCCACTCAGCACGCGCTTAGGGCGGGGGGGGACGGCGTGGGCGGGCACGCCATTGGGGAATCGCGTGTGTGTGTATTCCCCCCGCACGGAACAGGTGGACTAACAAAACACAAAGTCCACAAACCCTCCACCCAACGACCGCGCCGGCGCTGCCGAGGGGGCGTATGCACGAACCCAGAGAGGAGCGGAAACGCGAGGCGCCCACGGGACGGGGAGGCCGCGCTTGCGTTTGCGGGAGCAACGCGCCCTTCCCCTCCTTCCTCCGACCCCCCCCTCCTAGAACCCACTCCGTGTTTCCCCCGTTGGCAACCTCGTTGATTTGGCCCCCCCCCGCAGTGCGGACACTCCCGCGCTAACTGGGAAACCCACCCTAATCGAGAGCCGCGCCGCCCCCGTACTCCCCCCCTCGAATTCCTTTCCATTTTGCGCCCCCCTGGCTCCATCCGCCTCCGCTGTACTCCCTTACTCTCGCTGTGCGCTTCCTTTCGTGTTGGCATCGGTTTTTCCACGCCCTTCTCCCCTTCTTGTCCGCCCCCCCACTATCGTCCCTCCCTTATCTCCCTCCCTGAGCCACTCCGTCTCCCCCTGCCCCCCCACGGCGCTGCCCTTTACCGTATCTAACACATGAAGTCCAGCCCCGATTCGGGACCCCTCTTCGCAACCCCTCCGGTGATTGCTCGGTCGCCCGGCGGCTCACCCATCGGCCCGCCGGGCCCGCAGACGGAACCCCCAAATCACCACCGTCAACGACCCGTGCAACTCCGGCACGCCGCAAAAGGCCGACTGGGAGACGAACCCCCGTCTCAGGCGGGCCCGAGCCACGACTAGATAGCCCCCCGAGCGTGCGTACCGATGAGAACCGTCAGAGATACCCGGAGTTATACGCGGGGATAACCAGAAAAGCCGTCAAGCGACCGTGGAAAGGCGCCACAGCACAGAGCATCACCTAGAAAGACGATAATACCGCGAGGCCAATCCCGCGGGAAATAGCGACGACCAAGGCGGAGAGACGCTACGACCAGATGCGCCACGAGTAGCGCGTCACACCTGCGGGCCGAGAGGCTACCGACGTGGCACGCCTGCCCCCCCGACCCGTGAGAGACCACAACCCCCCTGTATGCGTCGGCAGGGATCTGCCTACGCGATTGTGTTAACACACGCGCGGGCGGCTCCGTGTCGACGGACCAACAGAGGGGAGAAACGAAGCGAGACGGAAAGCCACACAGAGATGACAAAAGCGAGCGAGCGCGGAGGATCGAGCGGGGCCCCCAGAGAGTCAAGCGGAATGGTCCAACCAACAACAAACTACGCCTAAACACACACAACACCGGCAGTAAAACCCCGGCGCGTGAACCGGAGGGCGGGGAGCAGGAGAAGAGTGTAACCGAAGGTGGGCCGAAAACGCGTCGCGGAAAAGCCCGGCGAAAAGCTCCAACACACAAAGCAGCTGGTACAGCGCGCCGAGCGAACCGAAGATATCAACCCCGGGGACTAAGGCGCAAGAGAGCCAGAGCGCAGCGCGGCGGGCAACGCGATCCCCTCCGCGCCACACCCCAAACGCGCTAGCGCCGAGTGCGGCCGACACCCCCCCCCCTCCCCCCCCCAACCGTCCTCCACCCCCTAGACGCAAACCCACCCCACGGACCAGTAGACCTACCCGGGACGCGCACGCGCACCCCCCGCACAAGACGACATAGAGGATACGGTCGACACACGAGAGCCCCGACGGAGAGACGATATGGAGCGCCGCTCCAGAGAGGCACGACACCCCAACAACCTCCCGCCTCCCCTCCCCTCTCCACCTCGCGGACCCCAACACGATCCGCCCCTCATCAATCCACCCCCCCCTCCGGCCTCGGTCCCCCCCCCTGTGCCCCTACACCTCCCCGCATCTTCTGTCTCACGCCGGCTTCTCCTCTCTCTGCTCGCACTCTCTCCCTGCTCTCCGCTATCGATCTACCGCGCTCCCGAGCGCCATATCAACCTTCTCCCTCTCTCTCCTCTCTCCTCCCCTCTATCCTCTCTCTCTCTCCCTCTCTCCCTCTCTCCCTCTCTCCCTCTCTCCCTTCTCCATCTCTCCCTCCTCTCCCTCTCTCTCCTCTCTCTCTCTCCCTTCCCCTCTTCCCTCTCTCTCTCTCCTCTCTCCTCTCTCTCTCTCCCTCTCTCCTCTCTCTCTCCCTCACCTCTCCCCTCTCTCTCTTCCTCTCTCCCCTCCTCTCCCTCTTCCCTCTCCCCTCTCGTCTCCACCTTCCCTCTCTGCGTCTCTCCTCCTCTCCCTCTCTCCCTCTCTCCCTCTCTCTATCTCTCTCTCCTCTCTCCCTCTCTCCTCTCTCTCTCTCCCTCTCTCCCTCTCCTGTATAAAGGAGACAGAGAAGAGGCAGATATTGCCGCTCTCTCGTTCTTCTCGTTTCTTACATTCTTTCTTTTAAAGGTGTTAATGATGATGTCATCCTTTCATCGTGAGCAGTTTTACTGAATATAATAAATGTGAATATTGTTATTTTATTCTTATTGTAATGATCTTATAATTATCCTCCAGAGCCGTGTGCAACAGAAACATCCTCCTGGATTATTCTGGATTATTCTGGATTATTCTGGATTATTCTGGATCAGCTCCAACTGAGAGAAAAGTAAATCAATATTTTCAGTAAAAGTTGTAATTTCTGTATTTTAAACTATTTCCTGTAGTTTGAAGCAGGGGTCAAACTCAGGCCCAGGGGCCACATGCGGCCCTGGGCCTGACATGATCAGGTCCTGAACCAGGCTGGACTGGACCCTGGTGGACTGGTGCAGATGTAGCTCTGGCCTCTCGCTCCGAGAGAGAGAGAGAGAGAGAGAGAGAGAGAGAGAGAGAGAGGGAGAGAGAGAGAGACACAGAGAGAGAGAGAGACAGAGAGAGACAGAGAGAGAAGAGAGAGAGACAGAGAGAGAGAGAGAGAGAGAGAGAGAGAGAGAGACAGAGAGAGAGAGAGACAGAGAGAGACAGAGAGAGAGAGAGAGAGAGAGAGACAGAGGGACAGAGAGAGAGAGAGAGAGAGAGAGAGAGAGACAGAGAGAGAGAGAGAGAGAGAGAGAGAGAGAGAGAGAGAGAGAGAGAGAGAGAGAGAGGGACAGAGAGAGAGAGAGAGAGAGAGAGAGAGAGAGAGAGAGAGAGAGACAGAGAGACAGAGAGAGAGAGAGAGAGAGACAGAGAGGAGAGAGAGAGAGGGGGGGGGGGAGCAGCTCTGATGAATCTTAAACAAACGCAGATGAAATAAATATTACATTATATTTTTCTTTCCCCGTTTTTATCACAGTCCGACTGCGCCTGCGCCACTTCAACACGGTAATAATAATAATAATTATTATAATAATAATAATAGTATAATAATATAACACTAATATATTTAACATGTATAATAATTGTCTCCTGTGTGAGATCAGTAAAGTCTATCTTATCTTTTATTCTATAAAAACATTATAATATTATAACATACATCTGTCTTTAAACACACTCATTATAATCCGGTGCCGCAGAAACCTCCGCCTCAGACCTCACGCGCTCATATCTCACGCACGCCCCGAGACCTGGTGTCGCGATGTTTAATGTATAAAGGCCCGCGATAAATATGCATGGATTCAATTAGAGGCATTACGCACGCGCTCATCTGCATACGGCGGGAGCGTCACGTTTAGGCTACGGGACTTCACAACACACTAAACGCTACGTCAGGGGGGGCAGGGGGGGCAGGGGGGGGGGGGATAATAATATAATAATGATAATAAAATACAAAAGAGAATTATCAAATGGTTAAATAACGAAATCAGTAACACTCGGATGTGCGCGGCTCGTTCAGGAGCGCGGCGTCTGTGAGAGAGAGGAAAAGAGGAAAGGTCTGGATGTTGTGTCATTTTCTCCTTTACAAGAAAAAAAAGACGTCTTGTAATGACGAGTCCGGACCCCCCCGCTCCCCCCCGCTCCCCCCCTCCCGGTCCAATTAAGAGCAGAGAGCTAATTAGACCGATCCTGGATCAGATCCTGGAGCAAGTGGAGAAAATACAAAAGATATGAGATGTGCGTTTAAGAACTGCCACCGAGACCCCGGGGAGAGACCGAGACCCCGGGGAGAGACCGAGACCCCGGGGAGAGACCCTGGACCACGGAGAGAGACCGAGGACCCCCTGGACAGACCCCGGACCCTGAGATCCGTGGCCTTTTCTGACAACGCGCTGCATCCTCCAGTTTAAAATCACAGAGTAAAGTGTAATTATTGAGACTTTTAAGATTTAGTAATATTCAGTAATATTCTCTGTATTTGTGTTTGGCCTTAAATCACAGCAGGTCTTTACAAAGTTGTGGATTCACCAACAGCAGATCAGAGAATCAAACACAGACAGCAGTGAGACAGAGGCCCGTGGGAGCAGTGCGCAGATGTTACTGATGTGGAAGTGTCAGAATCATTTAAAATATCATAAAAACAGTTGGAATATTATGTAGTGTTTTTATAACGGACTAAACCACATTAAAAATACAACAACATAGAAGTGTGAGGAGCGCGCGCGTGCACAGTGATTCACGTGGAAATCATAACTCATTCATTTTACAGTTGCTTTCGTTGTGGGTCCAATATTAATTGTATCTTATGAATAACATTTGAAATAAAAGTAGGATTGATTTATGTAAATATTGGAGCGCGCGGCGTAGTCATGGACACAAGGAGACACCGAGGAGACAAGGAGGAGACAAGGAGGAGACACCGAGGAGACACCGAGGAGACGAGGAGACACTGAGGACACCCTGAGGAGACAAGGAGACACCGAGGAGGAGAGGAGTCTGAGGACCGGTCTCAAACATGGAGAAAGGAGACGCGGGAAACGGGTTCAAGTCTCAGTAAAAATGAACAATAGAAAAGTCAAAGAGAGAATTGTAGCGAGTCGGAAAAATACAAAAGACTTAAATTAAAAACCTAACGCGGCTGTGATCACGTGACTGTGTTTCTGTCACTTTCTCTGGAAGTTGTTTTTACGCTGATTTTAAACATGACACCTTTAAAACCCAAACTCTTTACGTTTATAATCCACGCTCTCAGAGACTTTCTTATTTACTGTCGCGCTGTGTCCTGTTTTCTCCACTCGCTCCCACTTGTTCCGTGGAAACCATGGAGCCCGCAGCCTGGGGAGGGGGGGGGGGGGGGGGGGCAGTCCCAGCAGAACCCCCCCCCCTGAGTCCGATCCATGAGCCTGGCACCAGAAAAGCCCTCCGCTCCTCGACAGTCTCTTCTTCTTCTTCTTCTTCTTCTTCAGAGTGTGAGGAGCACATGTGCGCACGGGAGCCAATCAGCGTGTCAGGAGCCCGGTGACGCAGCAGGGCCCCGTAGATAAGGACCAGGGGGAGTCCGAGCGGGACCTGGGTTGTTGGTTTTTGGGGGGCCAGCCTTACTCGGTCCTATCACGATCACCGTGAGCACGCAGCTGCAGCGCCTCCTCCTCCACGGGCTCTTTACGCACGGATTGTAAAACTATTTTTGCAAACACGAAACAACAAATCAGGCTAAACTTGGACTAAATCTGGAGAAAGGGCAGAGCAAGAAGACGGTTACTCTCTGCTTTCCTTTTTGGACATGTATTTTTCGGTGTCCACGTGATGCTTTAGCTGAAATCTGCTGCCCGGATCCTTGGCACGGACTCACGCACGGACCGCTCGGTGCCAATGCCGCGCGCACCGCAGTCCGCATCCTGAGTTCTTACCCGGGTTTGGAGACGGCAGAGCAGGGAGAGGCTGCTCTTCCACCGCGCTCGGTACGTGCAGAATAATCAGACAAATCAGTACTTTCCCAGAGCTGAGAGCGTGTGCGTGTTGTGGTGAGTCCGTGATGAGAGCCGCGCCGCTCACGCGCAGTGGGAGAGCACGTGTCCGGTTTGGATTCCAGGAAAAAGACACAAAATAGAGGCGATTTTTTTCGTTCCTTCTTTTTTCTGTTGCTTGCGTTGGAGTGGCGTTGGCTGCCGCGGCTCATGGACATCTTGGCTTGCAGATCCGAGGAGAACGCGTACAGCATCATCCCGTCCGCGGCTGCCATGCTCTTCCACGGGCTGCCCGCGGGTGACGTGCACGGCGTCGTGGAGGAGATGGAGCGGCGGGCCCTGAAGAGCGAGTCCACGGCCATCAGCTCTGCCATCGACATGGGAGAGAGCGAGACGGTGAGAGGGTGTGTGTGTGTGTGTGTGTGTGTGTGTGTGTGTGTGTGTGTGTGTGTGTGTGTCTGTGCGCGTGTGTGCCACCGGGAACTTCCAAGGCCCACGCGTTTAGTGAAGTCAATTAAATGCCAAATTTTTCTGGCGTCAGTTTTGAGTTTTTTCTGCATTAAAACAGCTGCTGATAAATGCACTAATTCTACTCATTAAAACCCAAAGGAAGACGTTTCATTCCTGCGTCACTTTGCGTCAGATAATTGTGTAAATGTTGTAATAATAATTAGTTTAAATATAAAAAGTGTGGCAGCTGCTTTTACGTTATGTTTTGTTTATGTCCGTGTCTTTATGAGTTAAAGCTTCACAAACACCGCGGGTCATTGGAAAAATGTGGCGAAAAACCCCCGAAAAAACGATTATTATTATTATTATTATTATTATTATTATTATTATTATTATTGTTGTTATTATTAATCTGTGTTTGAGGCGTTTTTAGTGTAATGATATTTATTTTAAAACTTTCGCGACTTTTGCTGTGATTTAGAAAAACACACATTTCTTTGGTTTAAAAACGTGTCAAAAAAATTATTTTATTTTTAACATTTTGTTTTTTACAATCGTCGTGTTTCGTTGTTTTTTTTAACGTGAAAGAAATCAGTGAAAATGTGAGTTTAAAAATGAGAGAAACTGTGTGTTAAAAGATCAGAGAAGAGTGTTGTGAAAAATGTGAAAAAGGATTTTATTTAAAGTCTCTGTTTTTATTAACACTTTTTAGACTTGAGCCAAAAACCCGCTTCAAAAACTGTTTTTATTATTTTTATTTTTATTCCTTTTTCCTCGTGAATAATTCAGTGTTTGTGTCTCAGGACTTTAAGTTGTGGATTCACCGAGAACAGATCAGAAAATCAGACTGTTCAATGGAGACAATGAATAATGTAAAAGCTTTGAGTCCAAAAGTGCTGTTTATAAAATATATTTAAATACGTTTATGACAAAGGAGCATTTAACTGCTCAAAAATAATAAACACAAACACAGAACGAGCAGGTTCAAATGTTCAAATGTTCAAATGTTTAAATGTTTAAATGTTCAAATGTTCAAATGTTCAAATGTTCAAATGTTCAAATGTTTAAATGTTTAAATGTTTATAATTGTTTATAATTGTTTATAATTGTTCGTAAATGTCCTGTTATTTTGGGGTAAATTCTGAGCCTAACGTGGGTTTTTAAATCTGTAAAAATACGTGAACATTTTACAAATAAACACGAACAAGACGCGTCCTTTACGTGACGTGACGTGACGCACGCGCGAGACGGAGTTCATGTGAAAAGGATTTGACACTTTTTAGTTATTTTATCAGGATTTTTTAACCTTTAGGTCGACACACACACACACGCACTTACGAACACACACATACACATGCACGCACACACACACATGCACGCACTTACACACACACACACACGCACGAACACACACACCCACACACACACACACATATGCTGGATCCGTCATTACTCTGTCGCTCTCGTGCGTTCTCTTCGTTAAACTCCGCTGTGACGTCACACTGACCCGTGCCTTTCTGACCCGTGCCTCGCTGACCCGTGCCTCTCTGTTCCGGTCTAGACCATGCCGTGCCTGTCCGGGGAGCGCGTGGCCCTGTGCGCGGGCTGCGGGAGGAAGATCTCGGACCGGTACTACCTCCTGGCCGTGGACAAACAGTGGCACATGCGCTGCTTAAAGTGCTGCGAGTGTAGACTCAACCTGGAGTCAGAACTGACCTGCTTCAGCAAGGACGGCTCCATCTACTGCAAGGATGATTACTACAGGTACGAGCACAGGTACAAGCACAGGTACAACCTCAGGGACGGCTCCATCTACTGCAAGGATGATTACTACAGGTACGAGCACAGGTACAAGCACAGGTACAACCTCAGGGACGGCTCCATCTACTGCAAGGATGATTACTACAGGTACGAGCACAGGTACACGCACAGGTACAACCTCAGGGACGGCTCCATCTACTGCAAGGACGATTACTACAGGTACGAGCACAGGTACAAGCACAGGTACAACCTCAAGGACGGCTCCATCTACTGCAAGGATGATTACTACAGGTACGAGCACAGGTACAAGCACAGGTACAACCTCAGGGACGGCTCCATCTACTGCAAGGACGATTACTACAGGTACGAGCACAGGTACAAGCACAGGTACAAGCACAGGGACGGCTCCATCTACTGCAAAGATAATTACTACAGGTACGAGCACAGGTACAAGCACAGGTACAACCTCAGGGACGGCTCCATCTACTGCAAGGACGATTACTACAGGTACGAGCACAGGTACAAGCACAGGTACAAGCACAGGGACGGCTCCATCTACTGCAAAGATAATTACTACAGGTACGAGCACAGGTACAAGCACAGGGACGAATCAATCTACTGCAAAGAGGATTGCTACAGGTAGGGGCCCATAACTATCACTACTATCACAGGTACAAGCTACTTTCACCACTGTCACTACTTCAGGTACGATCACAGGTACTGCTACAGGTACGAGCAAAGATCATTGTTGTCACTACGAGTAATTATCCCTATGAACAAGTTTATCACTACTACAGGTACACGTATATTGTCAGTACTACAGGTACACGTATATCGTCAGTACTACAGGTACACGTATATTGTCAGTACTACAGGTACACGTATATCGTCAGTACTACAGGCACATGTATATCGTCAGTACTACAGGTACATGTATATTGTCAGTACTACAGGTACATGTATATCGTCAGTACTACAGGCACATGTATATTGTCAGTACTACAGGTACACGTATATTGTCAGTACTACAGGTACATGTATATTGTCAGTACTACAAGTACACGTATATTGTCAGTACTACAGGTACACGTATATTGTCAGTACTACAGGTACACGTATATTGTCAGTACTACAGGTACACGTATATTGTCAGTACTACAGGTACACGTATATTGTCAGTACTACAGGCACATGTATATTGTCAGTACTACAGGTACACGTATAGTGTCAGTACTACAGGTACACGTATATTGTCAGTACTACAGGTACACGTATATTGTCAGTACTACAGGTACACGTATAGTGTCAGTACTACAGGTACATGTATATTGTCAGTACTACAGGTACACGTATATTGTCAGTACTACAGGTACATGTATATTGTCAGTACTACAGGTACATGTATATTGTCAGTACTACAGGTACATGTATATTGTCAGTACTACAGGTACATGTATATTGTCAGTACTACAGGTACACGTATATTGTCAGTACTACAGGTACACGTATATTGTCAGTACTACAGGTACATGTATATTGTCAGTACTACAGGTACATGTATATTGTCAGTACTACAGGTACATGTATATTGTCAGTACTACAGGTACACGTATATTGTCAGTACTACAGGTACACGTATATTGTCAGTACTACAGGTACATGTATATTGTCAGTACTACAGGTACATGTATATTGTCAGTACTACAGGTACATGTATATTGTCAGTACTACAGGTACATGTATATTGTCAGTACTACAGGTACATGTATATTGTCAGTACTACAGGTACATGTATATTGTCAGTACTACAGGTACATGTATCTAGCGCTGAGATCATATTGTAATCATAGACTTATATATTAACGGACAGAGTCACGTCTATCTCCACCGTTCTAACTAATGGTCCAAAAAATGTGCTCTACTGGAGCTATCCAAAATGGCCGCGAGTGGTCCCACCCACAAGAAAATTGTGAAAAAACACATCTGCGCATGCGTCAGCCGGAGAGAGCTCCATTCATTTAAACGAGAGACTTCTAAAGTCCACAGCGACTAAACTAGACTGGTCCAGAACCCTCAGCATTGACTCACATGTGGAACGGAGCTTTGGGCCAAGAGACAACTTTTGGACCATCCTGTAAAGACGTTTTCCAGAGGTCAGAAGATGCTATATGTTAGCATTGGCCCATTCTACTTCTGGGTCCACCCCCACAGGCCCGGGGTGGTACTGCAGCATGTCAGGGTCCACCCCCACAGGCCCGGGGTGGTACTGCAGCAGGTCAGGGTCCACCCCCACAGGCCCGGGGTGGTACTGCAGCATGTCAGGGTCCACCCCCACAGGCCCGGGGTGGTACTGCAGCATGTCAGGGTCCACCCCCACAGGCCCGGGGTGGTACTGCAGCATGTCAGGGTCCACCCCCACAGGCCCGGGGTGGTACTGCAGCATGTCAGGGTCCACCCCCACAGGCCCGGGGTGGTACTGCAGCATGTCTGGGTCGGGGTGGTACTGCAGGTCAGGTCCACCCCCACAGGCCCGGGGTGGTACTGCAGCATGTCAGGGTCCACCCCCACAGGCCCGGGATGGTACTGCAGCATGTCAGGGTCCACCCCCACAGGCCCGGGGTGGTACTGCAGCATGTCAGGGTCCACCCCCACAGGCCCGGGGTGGTACTGCAGCATGTCAGAGCACGTCATTTTGGACACTTTTGAGCTGGGACCCGCCCCCACTGATTGTAATCTACGTTGCTATGGTAACTTCACAGGACGATATGTGGTCTTTGACAGTGGTCTCCAACTCCTGCTCAAACTCCTTTTTGTCCCTTATCAGCCTCTGTAGTTAAAGATGGAGCATTGACCTGTGGAGTCCTCAGCCAAAGGGACATTTATACGTCACATTCTTTGACAGTAATTCCAAAACACGGTGGAGGTAACCAGTCTTAACATGTTTTTCATTTGGGCCGAGGGTAAAAATTACAGAGAGTGGCTTTAAATACTGCAAAAAAACAGATTAGAAAATGTTAAAGTCGTTTTTCTGAAAAAGTCGGATGTATTTTAGTGTTACACACACATAGGCACAAAAACACACACACTCACACACACCCACACACACACACACACACACACACACACACACACACACACACACACACACACACACACACACACACACACACACACACACACACACACACACACACACACACACACACACACACACACACACACACACACACACACACACACACACATAGACATAGACACACACACACACACACACACACACACACACACACACACATAGACACACACACACACACACACCACACACACACACACATAGACACCACACACACACACACACACACACACACACACACACATAGCAAACACACACACACACACACACACACACACACACACACACACACACACACACACACACACACACACATAGACACACACACACACACACACACACACACACACACATTTACATACAAACTAGTAAAAGATGGAGGATTAAATGAAAATAGTGTTTGGTCTCATCAGAAACAAACGTTTGTGTGGTGTTGTGTAGTGATGTGTATAGTTGTGTAGTGTTGTGTAGTGATGTGTATGGTTGTGTAGTATTGTGTAGTGATGTGTATAGTTGTGTAGTATTGTGTAGTGATGTGTATAGTTGTGTAGTGTTGTGTAGTGATGTGTATAGTTGTGTAGTATTGTGTAGTGATGTGTATAGTTGTGTAGTGTTGTGTAGAGTTGTGTAGTGTTGTGTAAGATAAAGAACTTGTGCTGCTCAGTGTGTAAAGCTCCCGTGATGCACTGGGGTAAAGTCCTGGTTGTTAAGCTTTAGCTGCACATAACAAGCCTGTCTCATGGGGCCGAGGGGGGGGGGGTGGGGGGGTGGGGGAGGGAGGGGAGAGGGAGGGGGGAGGGAGGGGAGAGTCCCACGGCGCGCGCGTAATGAGTGGAGCAGTGGAAAATCACAGCGCGACGTCTTCTGTTCGTATCGACCAAAAACATGTAGTATTTTGTTTTATTTCCTGTGAGACGCGCGCGTTTAACGCTGAAGGGGCTCATGAGGGGGGCACGTGCTGCGCGTGGGTCTGCGTGAGTCTGCGTGGGTCTGCGGGGGTCTGCGTGGGTCTGCGGGGGTTTGCGGAGGTCTGCGTGAGTCTGCGTGTGTCTGCGGGGGTTTGCGGAGGTCTGCGTGAGTCTGCGTGTGTCTGCATGAGTCTGCGTGAGTCTGCGTGGGTCTGCGTGAGTCTGCGTGGGTCTGCATGAGTCTGCGGGGGTTTGCGGAGGTCTGCGTGAGTCTGCGTGTGTCTGCATGAGTCTGCGTGAGTCTGCGTGGGTCTGCGTGAGTCTGCGTGGGTCTGCATGAGTCTGCGTGGGTCTGCATGAGTCTGCGTGGGTCTGCATGAGTCTGCGTGAGTCTGCGGGGGTCTGCGTGAGTCTGCGTGGGTCTGCATGAGTCTGCGTGGGTCTGCGTGAGTCTGCGGGGGTCTGCGTGAGTCTGCGTGGGTCTGCATGAGTCTGCGTGAGTCTGCGTGAGTCTACAGGTGTCTGCATAATGACAGAAATTATTTATTATATTCCAAAATATTGTTTTAATGTTCATCAATGTTTGTGGACGCGTCAGAGCGGCTCAGAGCGGCTCAGAGCGGCTCAGAGCGGCCTCACGTCTCGTTACGTCTTTTTAAATCACAGCAGTTTGTCACAAAGTTGTGGATTTGATTTTGTATAATATAGAAATGGTCCAGAGGGAGGTCTCGAGGCATTAACTTTGACAGAGTTTAAAACGTGGGAAAGAAACTCGTTTTTGTCTTGTTTTGAGTTGATGTTTTATAAGAAGTAGAAGCACTTTTTATTTTAACACCTAGGTTTTTGTTTTGTTAAATGAAAACTCTTGGAGAAAATCAGAGCAACAACTGCTGCTTATTATTATAACTATTATTATTGTTATTACTATTATTATTATTATTGTTATTATTATTATTATTATTACTATTATTGTTATTACTATTATTATTATTATTGTTATTATTATTATTATTATTGTTATTATTATTATTATTATTGTTATTATTATTATTATTATTGTTGTTATTATTATTACTATTATTATTGTTATTACTATTATTATCATTATTGTTATTATTATAATAATTATTGTTATTATTATTATTATTGTTGTTGTTATTATTATTATTATTATTGTTATTACTATTATTATTATTATTATTATCGTTATTATTATTAATTATTATATAATAATTATTATTATTATGACAGTATTTAGGACGGTGGGCTGTGGGAGGAGTTTGGATTCACCACGTGATTCACTTTCTCAAACAATTTTTTGCGTGAATTTCTGTTTGTTTATTTTGTGTTCGGAAAAGAGAGCTGATTGGCGGAGGGCATAGATGAGAGCTGATTGGCTGAGAGCATAGATGAGAGCTGATTGGCTGAGAGCATAGATGAGAGCTGATTGGCTGAGAGCATAGATGAGAGCTGATTGGCTGAGGGCATAGATGAGAGCTGATTGGCTGAGAGCATAGATGAGAGCTGATTGGCTGCAAGAGGTACAAACCTTCGTCAAACTTTTGCTCATGTTTCGATCTGGTTTTTCTGCAAAAGGCAAAAAATCTGACCACACACTCTCTGACCCTACACCCTGACGGCCCCTGACCCGTGCTCCTGGCGGCCCCTGACGGCCCCTGACGGCCCCTGACGGCCCCTGACGGCCCCTGACCCTTGCTCCTGGCGGCCCCTGACGGCCCCTGACGGCCCCTGACCCGTGCTCCTGGCGGCCCCTGACGGCCCCTGACGGCCCCTGACCCGTGCTCCTGACGGCCCCTGACGGCCCCTGACTCGTGCTCCTGGCGGTCCCTGACCAGTGCTTGTCTTGTCCGCAGAAGATTCTCGGTGCAGCGGTGTGCGCGGTGCCACTTGGGCATCTCGGCGTCAGAGATGGTGATGCGAGCGCGGGAGCTGGTGTTCCACCTGAACTGCTTCAGCTGCAGCAGCTGCAGTAAGATGCTAACGACCGGAGACCACTTTGGGATGAAGGACAGTCTGGTTTACTGCCGCCTGCACTTTGAGACGCTGCTCCAGGGAGACTTCCACTTCAGCCACGACGTGGGGCCACACAAGGGCCTGGGCCCCAACAACGCCCTGGGACTGTCCTACTTCAACGGAGTCAGCTCCGTACAGAAGGGCCGGCCCCGCAAACGCAAGAGCCCGGGGCCCGGGGCCGAGCTGGCGGCCTACAATGCAGGTAACACACTGTGTGTGTGTCTGTATGTGTGTGTGTGGGTGTGTTTCTGTGTGTGTGTGTGTGGGTATGTTTCTGTGTGTGTGTGGGTGTATGTGGGTGTGTTTCTGTGTGTGTGTGTGTGGGTGTGTCTCTGTGTGTGTGTGGGTGTGTCTCTGTGTGTGTGTGGGTGTGTCTCTGTGTGTGTGTGGGTGTGTCTCTGTGTGTGTGTGGGTGTGTCTCTGTGTGTGTGTGGGTGTGTTTCTGTGTGTGTGTGTGTGGGTATGTTTCTGTGTGTGTGTGGGTGTGTCTCTGTGTGTGTGTGGGTGTGTGTGGGTGTGTTTCTGTGTGTGTCTGTATGTTTGTGTGTTTCTCTGTGTGGGTGTGTGACTGTGTGTTTCTGCTGTGTGTGTATCCATGAGGCTTTCACAGAGAACCTAGAGTTATGCAGAGCAGGAGCATGTTAGAGCTGAGTTAGAGCTGAGTTAGAGCTGTCACCATGGCGACAGTAGCTCATTTCAGTAGAGCATTGGTCTCTGGACCCAGAGGTCGTAGGTTCCAGCCCACCACGGCCCATGTCACCTGCTCCCACTGATGTCTGCTGTCGTGTCTTTGGGCAAGACACTTAACCCCACTTTGCCTGAAGCCCCCTCTGACAGACCAAGGCTGTGTCTGTGTCGGACTGACCCCAGACCCAGGATAATGAAGAGTCTGAAGCTTTATCTCAGTCTGAATCTGAGCTGAAAACACCACGTCCTCCACAAACATGAGACGTTATTTTATATAATGTTTTTATTATATTCATAATATATTCATAATATATTCATAATTTATATAGTGATATAAATATTCTATTGATTCATAATATAGTGTGTGTAATAAAACAGGACTCGGGTCTAGGGCACGAGATATACTCTCTCTCTCTCTAGCTCTCGGGTGCGAGCTCTTTCTCGTCTCCCGATCTTTTGCGTCTCTCTCTCTGGGCTCTTCGGTCTCTCTTACTTTCTCGCCTCTCTTCTCTCTCTAGCTTCTCTCTCCCTCTCTCGCGCTCCTCTTCTCTCTTCTCTCTCTCTCTCTCTCTCTCTTCTCTCTCTTCTCTCTCTCTCTCTCTCTCTCTCTCTCTCTCTCTCTCTCTCTCTCTCTCTCTCTCTCCCTACTCTTCTCTCTCTCCCTCCCTCTACTCTCTCTCCCTCTCTCTCCCTCTCCTCTCTCTCTCTCTCTCTTCTCTCTGTCTCTCTCTCTCTCTCTCTCTCTCTCTCTCTCTCTTCTCTCTCTCTCTCTCTCTCTCTCTCTCTCTCTCTCTCTCTCTCTCTCTCTCTTCTCTCTCTCTCTCTCTCTCTCTCTCTCTCTGCTCGGGGATAAAGTTGTTGATGTTCTGCTTCTTGCTTTCACTCTGTTCCACTTGTCAGGCCTCATACATCCAAAGGCCCCGGGCCCCTCCTCCTCGGGCCCCAGGCCCCGCTCCCCTCTTCTTCCTCGGGCCCCACTCCCCCCTCCTTGGGCCCCGGCCCCGGCCCCCCTCCTCTGGAGCCCCTTTGCTCTGGGACGGAGCCAAAAACAGATCAATGTGATTTGATGAGTTATTCACTGGAAGAAGGAGCAGAGACTTTCTGCAGATTAATACTGTCAAGGATTTACTTTCACTTCTGTAAGCTCTGGCATTGTCTGCTCTGTGTGACACACACACACACACACGTAGACACACGTATACACACACATATACATACACACACACGTATACACACACACACACACACACACGTATACACACACATGTACACACGTGTACACACACACATACATACACATATACACACATATATATATATACATACACACATATACACACACATACACACATATATACATATATACATATACATACATGTGCGCCCTCTGGTGGCCGCCGCTGTCACTGCAGGAAACAGAGCTCTAAGTATTTATAGAAAGCAGATTCAGATTGATTCAGACGAGAGGACACACTGTGGTTAGCAATGCTGCTAACTTTATCAAGGTCAAGTTCATTCATGCTTCTAAAGTCATCTCACATTTTGTTCATTAACAATTTAACACTAGGACACAGAGACACTAGGACACACAGAGACACTAGGACACAGAGACACTAGGACACACAGAGACACTAGGACACACAACGAGACACGAGGGACACTAGGACACAGAGGACACTAGGGACACACAGAGAGACACTAGGACACAGAGACACTAGGACACACAGAGACACTAGGACACAGAGACACTAGGACACACAGAGACACTAGGACACACAGGGACACTAGGACACAGAGACACTAGGACACAGAGACACTAGGACACAGAGACACTAGGACACACAGAGACACTAGGACACATAGGAGGTCAGAGACACCATGTGTTTTTTCCGGTCTTCAGCCTCATTAATATTGCGAGTGTTGTTCTGGTCTTAATTTTCACATCTCAGTGTTAGAGACGCATCAACACTTCAGCACGAGCCAAGAGCAGTACAGCAGCCTGACGGCCTCCGAGAGAGACCAGAGAGAGACCAGAGAGAGACCAGAGAGAGACCAGAGAGAGACCAGAGAGAGACCAGAGAGACCAGAGAGAGAGACCAGAGAGAGACCAGAGAGAGACCAGAGAGAGACCAGAGAGAGACCAGAGAGAGACCAGAGAGAGACCACCAGAGAGAGACCAGAGAGAGACCAGAGAGAGACCAGAGAGAGACCAGAGAGAGACCAGAGAGAGAGACCAGAGAGAGACCAGAGAGAGACCAGAGAGAGACCAGAGAGAGACCAGAGAGAGACCAGAGAGAGACCAGAGAGAGACCAGAGAGAGACCAGAGAGAGAGACCAGAGCGAGACCAGAGAGACCAGAGAGAGACCAGAGAGAGACCAGAGAGAGACCAGAGAGAGACCAGAGAGAGACCAGAGAGAGACCAGAGAGCCAGAGAGACCAGAGAGAGACCAGAGAGAGACCAGAGAGAGACCAGAGAGAGACCAGAGAGAGACCAGAGAGAGACCAGAGAGAGACCAGAGAGAGACCAGAGAGAGACCAGAGAGAGACCAGAGAGAGACCAGAGAGACAAGAGAGAGACCAGAGAGAGACCAGAGAGAGACCAGAGAGAGACCAGAGAGAGAGACCAGAGAGAGACCAGAGAGAGAGAGAGAGACCAGAGAGAGACCAGAGAGGACCAGAGAGAGACCAGAGAGAGACCAGAGAGAGACCAGAGAGAGAGACCAGAGCGAGACCAGAGAGACCAGAGAGAGACCAGAGAGAGACCAGAGAGAGACCAGAGAGACCAGAGAGAGACCAGAGAGAGACCA